AGACAGACAGACAGACAGAGAGACAGACAGACAGACAGACAGACAGACAGACAGACAGACAAAGTGGACAAAGGAACGGACAAATAAATAGATGAAAGATATCCATTATAAAACCCGTCAATACATGTTGATATTATATAAGAAAGTAAAACTAAAACAAATAACAAATACTGTATATATATAGAGAGAGAGAGAGAGAGAGAGAGAGTTTTTGTATATATGTTCTTTTAATAAAGTTGCATATATAGAATTTAAAGATTTCGCAACCACAAAAAACTTCAAAATTCAAAATGAAACATATCATCTCATATGCGTTCTTGTAATTTATGATTGTTTTGATATTAAAGGGCGAGATATACAATGCATAAATCGGCCTTTACTCTTTAACAAAGATCCAAAAGTAAGTTTTTACTTTGCATTATTAATGTTCCGAACAGCTTTCAACATTAAAAGTCTCTATTGTTATTATTTTACTGTTATTATATTATTGTTATTATTATTTTTTTAATTACAGTTCATAAATAAGTGCAAATGTATATGTGTTATCCATCTGGCAATCAGAATAAAACACGTGTATTGAGTGTGTACGCGCTCTGGTGTAGTTTACGCAAGCGCCGGAAGTGATCTCTCGCGCGTATACGTCACTCATTGTTTACACAGTGCACAGTCATTGTAGGTACGACGGCTAATCAAAATGGTACTTACTTGCGCTTATCCGGATTGTTCAAACCGACTTAAAACTAAAAGATTACGTTCTCTCGCGCGAACTCATTCGTGAGTGGTGACTTTCCACGTATTCCCAATTTCTGAGCCTGCTCGCCTGAAGTTATGGTTGATTGCTCTTCGGCTGGATATCAACACACCCATTAACGTAAACTACGCCAGAGCGCGTACACACACCTCACGCACGGGAACCCGTGCGCGCCCAAAGACAGTTGGACATAGTGGTGTATTAGAGGTAAAAAAAATGATATAAATACTGTTCGAATTCTCGCACAAACCGATCGTTTCATGTCTTAGGACATCAATGTGTCGTCACGAGCCGCAGGGTTTAATTTGGATTTGTCTGTGCATGTTTTTTTTACTCTCATAGATTTTGTTACCATTGCCATGCATTATACGACTGATAGACTGCAACGGCTGGAGTTAAAAATCATCATATGTGTTCTACTGAAGAAACAAAGTCACCTACATCTTGGATGCCCTGGGGGTAAGCAGATAAACATTTTCATTTTTGGGTGAACTATCCCTTTAAATTCACTTTATCCTCCAAAGCTCAACATTGTTAGTTAACATGGTAGAAGTTCTAAAACGTGGTTTTACCATGGTACATGGGACAAAAAATTTGGTTTTGCCATGATATCATAAAACCCACTGCATCAAAAACATCCAGGCATTACAATTTTGTAATATTACAAGTTTTTTTTTTTTCTTAGTGTAATGCATATTGAAAATATATTATTTGCCTTTGTTTAGCTAAAAGAGAAGCAAAAAGGCTTCATAAACAAGAGTTTAGGCATCACTGAGATCATCTGCTCTGCTGACATGGCCACGGGAGTCAAGGTTTGTCAATTTTGTGCTATACACTGAAAAAAATGGTGTAGAAACCATTTTCACTCAGAAATTGCTAGTAAATTTCACAAACAATTACAAAGAAATGGCAAGTAACATTGAATTATACTTGAAAATTTGAAGTAGAAAAACTGAAATAGTATTTTCTTGTAAAACATACAAATTGTAAAATCATTATTACAGTGTATTCTAAAATTCCAGCTGCTTCATAATAAAGGTAATTATGCTGAAATCAGCTGCAACAGGTTTTCTAACATCTTGGGTTGCTGTTGTTTACACTATAGCTGAATTTCGAGCTGTTCTCGAGACATTTGCATGTGGTGTTGACATGCATGACACTACACATTTGCATTTATTCCACATTTGAATAGTCACACTGCACTATTTGCTGTAACCCTCAGCTCGGTGTTATGTGTGGACTGTATGGAGGTGCTGTCAATAATCTAGGCAGTCCAGAGCAGAAGATGAAATGGTATCTCCCTGTTTCAGTAAGTCATGAATAAATTCTGTGCACTCCAGACTTTGAAACACTCTCAACACATGTGCACAAAAATGTTTGCAAGTCAAAGTCCTGGTCATTTTGGTCTCCATGAGTTTGCACATGTGTTTGTTTATTGCAAGAATGGCTGAAATGATTGATTTCAAGGTATAGTTTACCCAGAAATTAAAATGGTCTGAATACTTCCTCACCCTCAGGCCATCCAAGATGAGTTTATTTCTTCATCGGATTTGTAGAATTTTAGCATTGCGTCACTTGCTCACCAATGGCTCCTCTGCAGTGAATGGGTGCCGTCAGAATGAGAGTCCAAACAGCTGATAAAAACATCACAATAATCCACAAGTAATCCACACCACTCCAGTCTATCAGTTAATGTCTTGTGAAGCGAAAAGCTACGTGTTTGTAAGAAACAAATCCATCATTAAGACGTTTTAACTTCAATCCTTTGCTTTCGGCTAAAATACAAGTCCTTGATCCATAATAACAAGTCCATAATCCATAATAACGTCTTAATGATGGATTTGTTTCTTACAAACACGCAGCTTTTTGCTTCACAAGACATTAACTGATGGACTGGAGTGGTGTGGATTACTTGAGGATTATTGTGATGTTTTTATCAGCTGTTTGGACTCTCATTCTGACGGCACCCATTCACTGCAGATGATCCATTGCTGAGCAAGTGATGGAATGCTACATTTCTCCAAATCTGATGAAGAAACAAACTCATCTACATCATGGATGGGTGAGGCAAATTTTCATTTTGGGGTGAGCTATTCCTTTAATGTCAATGCAACATGCCCTATACATTTTTGTGTTTAATTGCAGGAGTTACAATTTACAGGGATGTTTGCGATGACTGAGAGGGGCCACGGTAGCAACGTTCGAGGCATTATCACTGAGGCCCGATACAATCAATCCACACAGGTGATTCCCAAGTCTACTCTATGCTTTCATCTACGGGACTGTCCGGGATCAACAGTGATTTCAATGCGAATTTTAAAGGAATAGTTTACCCAAAATTATAAATTCTGGCGTCAGCAACTTAAGTTGTAAAACCATATGATAGTCATGCTTACTTATTTTATAAAATACAGCTGAGATTTATACCATTAAGCTCCAAAAAGGTTCAAAAGTACCAAAAAAGGTTCTATAATGTGTTATTCACTGGAGAGCTTTAATTTTTGTGACTCATATCCACACTTGAATTATTGTGAAACAGACACAGAGTTGAGTTTAAAATGTTTCTGATGGTTGTTTTGCAGGAGTTTATTATTCACACACCTTCCGAAGATGCTCAGAAAATGTACATCGGGAATGCAATGAAAGGAAACTATGCTGCTGTGTTTGCTCAGCTCATTATAAATGGAGAATCTCAGGGTAAGAGTGATGCAACGGCTGTTCATACTGACTTTACATACTGAATTATCATCACAAGCCTGTCTGCACATTAGTTCATCATATCTGGCATGCTTCTAACAACTCATTTGTGCTCATTTAGACATGGACCCACTGATTTAAATTGTATATGTGGACATGCGTGACAAATTTTGGTGTTATCTAAAAATGTTTGACATGTATTGTGCACCGATTGATCTGTTAAACAAGACAGAAACAGCTTGAATCACTAACCCATGTGTTAAACTTTAGCACATAACTTGTATGGATATGAACGACACCTAAATCATGCTTCTTATTGAGATGATGTCTGTCCCAGGTCCCCACTGCTTTATTGTACCAATCCGTGATCAGAATGGAGTCATGTGGCCAGGAGTGACGACCATTGACATGAAGCACAAGGAAGGTAATACAATAACACTATTTTTCAATACAGCCCTCCTCAATAAAGTTTTTCAAGTTTTGACTGTTTTACTTTATATGTGTTTTTACGCAGGTCTGCATGGGGTTGACAATGGCATTTTGATATTTAATAACGTCCGGATACCACGGGAAAATCTGCTGAGAAAGTGAGTTAACGGACAGAATTACTGTAGATTAGGCATTGTGAACTAAAAGACATTCATGAGATGATAATAGAAATTGCCACAATCATGAAAAAACACACACACACACACACACACACACACACATATGTGACCCTGGACCACAAAACCAGTCATAAGGGTCCATTTTTCGAAATTGAGATTTATACATCATCTAATAGCTGAATAAATAAGCTTTCCATTTTGTGGTCCAGGGTCACACACATATATATATATATATATATATATATATATATGCGCGTGTGCGTGTTTCATGTATATAGTAGTTATAAATGAATGTAGGAGGGAATGCATGTCTCTCATAGCTCATTGTACTTGTGTGTTGCAGGTTTGGTTCAGTATCAGCTGATGGTTTGTACTCGTCTCCTGTCCTCAGTAAAAGCAGTCGCTTCAATGCAATGCTCGCTGCCCTGACACCCACCCGTCTGGGTCTCACCGTACATGCCATGGCTGCCATGAAGGTTTCTACTCACCTCCACTCACATTTAACACAACAGTAATCAGTGTTATTACTCTGGAAACATGATTATCATGCACCATCACAAACATGTATCTCTGTGTGACCCAGTAAAGTCAGCAATGCTTCAGCTTCACCACAAGAGGGAGACATGCAATTATTTCTCCAGCATAATATAGTGTAATTTTAGTATTGTTTATACTATTTTAGTAATATTTTGACATTTATTTTTATATTTTCAGTTTTCATTTTAGTTTTAGAAATGTTATTATGTGCCTTTGTCATTTTTATTAGTTTTTAATATTTCCTTTTAACTTTATTTTAGTTAGTTGCAAGGCAACATTTTTTATTTTTGTTTAAGTTTTTCATATATATATATATATATATATATATATCAATATTTCAATATTTCTATTTAACTTTAATTTATTTTATTTCAGTTAATTTGATTAATTAAAGTATAGTTCACTTTAAAAGGATAGTTCAATTTACTCTCTCTCTCTCTCACTGTCTGACTTTCACTGTATAGGAAAAAAAAATTTTTTTTTTGTATTGTTTTTTTCCATACAATGAAAGTGGATGGAGACTGGGGTCAGACCACCTTCCCCTCAAATCAAGTCAGATTTATTTGTATAACACTTTTTTTCACAATACACATGGTTTTAAAGCAGCTTTACAGAAAATCATAATGTTAATATTTAAAATATCTTAATATCTTCATGCTTTATAATTACATTTATCAGTTCAGAGCTCGACGATAATATAGTTTACATTTTGAGACGATACAAGCAATCAAGCAGTTGAGATCTGCTATATAGTATATATCACCCTATGTGAGTATACTGTATGCATGCAGATAAGGTTGGACGTAATTATATGTCCAACTTAATATAAAGACTCAGACAATAACATTTTGTGACAAAAAAAAAAACAGGCAGTTGAGATTTGCTATATAGTATACATCGCTTTACATGAGTGTACTGTATGTATACGGATAAAGCTGGACATACTTATATTTCCAAATTTATATAAAGAGCTGGATGCTAATATAGTTATAAGAGCAGCTTGGTCATTCTGCTAAATATCTCATTTTGTGTTTCACAGAAGAAAGCAAGTCATACAGGTTTTTAACAACATGAGGATGAGTAAATTATCATTTTTAGGGTGAACTGCATGTTTAATTATTAATTATGTCTAGTACCAGTCTTATTAACTTAACCTTTACATAGTGTGTTTTCTCAACAGCTGGGGCTCGTCATTGCAGTACGCTACAGTCACAGGTAGGATGTTAAAAAATCTGTGCGTGTGAATGTCATGCAAGTTCATGTGAAATTCAGATGCGATGCATCGGTGGTAACAGATCAAAACAATTCCCTGTAATTATTTATCAGTGTTAAACAGTCGCGCTCCTTCAAGCGCATCAAAACTGCATCGACGAGTTTCAAAAGCGATTTATGTGGTCGTAGGGGAGAGAAAAATAAACAACAAGCTCTAGAAATGAGTGAAAACAAAATGAGAGCGCCGTGACGTGTGGAGTTTCTCCTCACCGCAGAGCACATCCAGTTCAGAGGGATACTCTCGTCCGCGCCTCCGCTGCTGCTGCTGCGCATCTTCCTCACATGTGGCTTGTGCATGTGTGCGTCTGCGTGGGCGATGCTGGGTGTCTCTGAACATGGCATCCCCAGGCTGAAAAAAATACAGAACTAGAGGAAATGTTTGCTTTCTATAGTTGCAGGTTTTCCATTTGCAAAACAGCTCTGCGCACCCACACGCACAAACATATCAGAGGAAGAACAAAGAGCCACAACTCTGGTGCCAAAACATGTATGAGCGCTCAGGTGTGAGAGAAAAACCGCACTCGCAGTTATTAGGCTCGATGCTCTCAGCCCACCACACCTCTTCTTGGTTGGAGTTTATCTTATTACGGCACACACCACAAAGCCATCACACTTCAGACTTTCTGAACGAGAGGGTTTAAGGTTAAAAACAACAGCATGCCATCAAACAGTCGGTGGTCATGTTGCGCACATGTGGCTCGCAGATTTGCTCGCAGCGTTTGGGAGGTTGTTCGGTCAGTTGGTTAGTTTTAGTGGTGGGAAAGTTAGTTATAAGGATAAGACTTGGCAAACAGATTGATACGCAAGTTATACACGTCTTCAAAAGCTACATACAATCATTTAAAGTCAACACGAAATCAATCTTTAGACATGTTCATTGGTGCATGTAATTCCAAAGAAAATAGTGTTTGTCTGTGCTGTTTTTGATCATCACGTTACCACGCCGACTGTAAAATTTTTGACTGACATCACCAGTGTTGGGAGTAACGCATTACAAAAGTAACGATATTTCTGAATGTAGGCTAATTGCGGTTTGTGCTTGAAAGTGAAAGTAACTCACAAGTAACTTAAAAGTAGTGTAACGCATTACAATTCAGAGACAGTAATATTGTAATGTAACTAATTACTTTTAAAAGGAAGTAATAAGTAATATATAATGTATTATAGTTTGGAAGTAACTTGCCCAACACTGGACATCACTGAGATCATGTAGCCATTTGTTCATGTTAACTAATACCAGTGTATGTATTTATATACTATTATGGTATTTTTAAATATTTTGAATTGGCTTTTATTTTTATATTTTCAGTTTTACTTTAGGTTTTAGTAATTTTGTTATGATCATTTTTTAATATACATTTCTATATAGTTAATAGATTTTTATTTCAGCTGTAGTTTTAGTAATTTTTATGAGTTTTCATTGTTGTATATTTTTATATAGCTTTAATGGATTTTTATTTCAGTTTTAGTCATTTTAAATCTGTTTATAAAGCTTTGATTTATATATATTTCACTTTTAGTTTTAGTAATTTTTATATAGCTTTATTTTATTTTTATGTGAATTTTAGTCGTTTTATATGTTTTTTTTATATGTTTAGAAAGCTTTAATTTATTGTTTATTTTATTGTATTTATTTTTTATTTTTCAGTTAGTTTAGTTTTAGTCATTTTTGTACTTCAGCTTCAACATTTTTTAAGTTTAAGTTTTTCATCTAATTTTTATATTTATTTCAATTATTGAAAATGATTTATAATGGTTTTAGTTGTAGTGCACTGTCCAACAGCCATGTGGCATTTAGTTAATGCAGCCTTTCTAAAATCTTACCAACAGTCAATAGTGATTTTTGATGCCAGAAAATCTAAAAGTTAATAACAGATAACATAATAATTGGAAGATTCTTATACAGGATGTCCAGTAGGAAGTATATGGGAAATAGAATGGGTTGTGAATGCCATAATATGTTGACTTTAACGCAGTAGCATTTCACTTTTCGAACGAAATCACAAGAGCCAGCGCTGTCATCTGTTTAGTGTAATGAAGGACAGTTGTTCAGATGACAGACGACACTCTGTGCATTTCATCAGTCTTCAGGAAATGTAGGTGTGCGCTTGCATCATGTGGTTCCACTATGTCTTCCGCCGACATCTATATGTTCCACTATAGAATATTGCAGTTCAGAATAGTTCATAGATCTATGTTCCGATGAAAAAGAGGTTTATTTCTAAAGAAATTAACTGTAAGGGATGTAAAACATCCCAAAAGGACTCTCAGATAAAAAACAGTCCTTTCTCACGAAGGTTGTCGTGTTGAGATCACATGAACAGCTGTAACTCGCTTTATCTCAATAGCAACCCTACTGACGTCACTGAAGTTGTGCATCTATTTGTTCGTGTTAACAAATAGCAGTGATATTTATATACTATTGAAGTATTTAATATTTTAATATTTTCTTATGTTTTAATTTTTGGTTTTAGTAATTTTGTTATGTGCTTTTGTCATTTTATTAGACTTTTTAAATTATTGTATATAGCTTTTAGTTAGTCATTTTTATTACATTTTTTTTAAAATATAGTTTTATAAAGATTTAATTAATTTTATTTTATTTTTAGTCATTTTAGAATAAATATATAATATAAATAATAATAGGTGACAAACTCTGCAACATCGACACTTATTGAACTGAACTGAATCAACATTGAGCTAAATAATGACACTTGTCTTCTGTACAGCTGCTTATAGTCCAATTATTAATAATTTGATGAACTTTGCACTATTAGTGAACTAAATTGAATCAACACTGAACTAAATTAAACTGAATAATGACACTATTGTCTTCTTCATAGCTGAATTTGTATTTGTTTTAGTACTTTGCAGCATTAATACTGTGTTTATTTAGTTAGTTACTTACTTACTCACTCGACAAATACTGTACATCTATAAATATGGTGTTTCTACAATAACATCAGTAACCGAATGTGCTTTTACATGACATTTGACCAGCACATAAAGCGTCTGTTTATTTTTAAGAGGACTGTACAAGAGAAGACACTCAACTTTATATGAGGCATGTTACAATAGGATTTCTGTGTGGGCTTCTCACCTTTAAAACCACACATATGCGCACACACACACACATGCTCCCATCTCGTCTGCTCTGTGGGGAAGCCACCTGCAGATGTTAGATGTAGAGATACAGTTTGTGGTAGTTCAAGAGTCACAGGTGTACAAAGCTCGACTTCAGTACAGCAGAAAGACACAAACACATACAGACACAAGACCAGACGTCCACCACAATAAGTCTTCCTCCGCACACACTAATGCATGCACTGCGGTTAAAAAAGTGGGTTACCTGGAAGGTTAACGGTTTATTTCTCCGGTGCGTCGACATCCAGGTGTGTTGTGGGACGTCTGACCCTTTGCTGTGACCCCGCTGTGTCTGTTTGGGTTTGAATGTGATTATGTGACAATGACAGAGGTTTCTGAGTGTGCAGTGACATTTTGAATGAGTTTCAACGTCTAAATGTTCTTCGCAGTCGCAGACAGTTCGGTCCGAAGGATCAGGATGAGGTGAAGATCATCGAGCACCAAACGCAGTACCTGAGACTGATGCCACACCTGGCTGCTGCCCTCGCGCTCATTTTCACCACCAGGTAAATCTACTTCCTGTTCATGGCCACATCCCATTGAATATGATCTTTTTATATGCAAAGACAAGACTCTACAGGCAAAAACATTGTTTTTTTCATGCACTGGTCAGTTTTGAGATTTTTTAATGCGTTGTTTCAGACTAGTGGAAAGAAAACATCCAAAAAACACTTTTAAGTGTTTATTTTTATTGCACTTTATCTGTTTGCATCTGTAGATTTTAATTATATAATGCATATCTTTAAAGCGTTAGTTCACCCAAAAATGAAAATTCTGTCATTAATTCCTCACCCTCATTAAGATAATGAGGGTGAACACAAGAACACAAATTAAGATATTTTTGATGAAATCCGAGAGCTTTCTGACCCTGCATAGACAGCAATGGAACTGACACATTTAAAGGTGGGGTAAGCGATTTCTGGTAGCCAATGTTGACATTTGAAATCACCAAAACAAACACACCCCTAACCCAAAAGGGTCTCACCCCTATTTTGATAGCTCCGCCCAAAAAACATACGTACGCAACCCAGACAATGATTAGTTCTGTGAAACAAAGCAAAACCAATGTTACACCATGTCTACACCGGACGTGAGTGGCGCGACAAAATACTATAGAACTCATTATAATCAGTGATGCTGTCTACACCATAGATATATATACATATCTATGGTCTACACTGGATGCGGCGCGGCACGACAAATCCCCGACAGAAAACTGCTGCTGCGTTCTATTCATGACGTATTGACACAAATTTCAATGATTTTCAACGGTCGCTTTATCGCGTCCAGTGTAATAGACAGACTTTAGCTGTTGCGGCGCAGACACGGTGTTACTCACCTATCGAGAAGAAACAAAGCAACCTCGGCGTCCGATCGCAGGCCTTCCGCTCCTTAAGTTCTCTCCAGCGCTGGAAAGCTGATCCGATATTTACACGGGTCCTACTTCTTGCCTTAAGCCTTCTTTTGTTCCGCAGACGTTTTCCTCTTTTGTTTATCCACCATCTCAATCTTTCTGTTGCTCGGCTCGCTAATGTCCGTCCTGTGCACTGAACGCTCTCCCCTCCACATCATGAGACATGCCCCTTACTGCTGATTGGCTACAAGTTTGTTTTGCTATTCGGCCCGAAACGGTTTTCTAAAGTGTTTTTGAAAAATCACATACCCTGCCTTTAACATATGTTGATTCAATTTATACTAAACATAATGCA